TTTCCAGAAAATTACAAGAGAGAGAGATTCCAGAAACTGATGCTAAGATACTATAGTGATGACAGCCCTAAAGTAAAATAGATTATTATTATTTGATGTATATTTTAACCAAAACTATGCTTCAAAACAAAGTACTATATAAAATAGTAACTGGCAGCAGCTATTGATTTAAAATATTTTAAGTTTATACTTTTCTGAGAATTATCAATAATGACTGGAGGGCAGCAAAGGCCCCTGGGTAAAATAGCCAAGATTTTATTTCCCAAGTTTATTCAGAGATCAAGGCTAGGGATTGAGCAAGTTTGTTTTAGAGAAATCTTTTCGAGCAGGTTGTTTTTAAATCTGACATTTTTTAAATCCCAGGATGGATAAAAAAAATAATTAAAAAAGCTATTTTTCTTTAAATTAAATATAGGCTTATTTAAAAAAACTATTAAAAAGTAAATTTGAAATCATGACAACCTATATGAAAACCGTAACTTTCTATAGATATAAAATCATGTAAACACTATTAAGCAGTACATTTTCTGCCAAGCTTTAAAGGAAGTCAAACCACTGAACCAGTGGAAGTTACTGGCTAAGCCAGGCCTGCACAACATACAGCTGAAGGGCCGCATGCGGCCTGCAGGGGCTCACTGTGCAGGTCATGCCGACTATGGGTGGCATGGCCCCATCCGATCTGCCAGCTGGGCGGAGGAGCAGAGCTTCGCCAGGGAGGGGGAAGTGCAGCAATTCTCGCTTCTGGGCTGCCTGCATGCAGCTCTAGCACGAGGAGGGTGGGGCGCGAGCCAGAGGACGAGACGCCGGCAGACGCCAGGACGCTGGCGTGACGTCACGGCAGGTGACCGCTGGATTCAAAAAGGCTCTGGCAGCCCCGCAAACTGGAAGGCAGAAGCCAGGTAGGGGAGGGGAAGGGGCTTGTGCTGAGGGAAGGAGGGCAGGGCAGGAGAAAGGGGAAGGCACCAAGGGACAGGGTGCAGGAGAGACAAATTCCTCTTCCCCCCCCCCGACAAATATTTTTAGCCCGCACGTTCGGTATTTTTTGGGAGAGCATCCCTACTTGCGGCCTGAAGTGGTTCTCTTTGGAGTAATATGGTCCTCGACGCTTTCCGAGTTGTGCAGGCCTGGGCTAAGCAATAGAGTTTGAAGTGCTAAACTAGCTTCTGAGAGCAGTAGCCTCTTCTGCAAGTGCACAGAGAACATAAATATTTCAGTTTATTCAACTAGATCAATTATTAGCTCTAAAATCTTGAAGGACTGAACCTAGAAACAATCATCTGAATATAGAAACTACAGATAATGCTTGGGTTGTTTAATATGGAAGTTAATTTTATTTGCAAAACATGTTTTGATAAACTTTTTTTCTTATACACACACACGTGTAGTTTTACTGAATAAAAACTAGAAAAAATTCTGTGAATTTTAATTTCCATCCAACTTCTAGTAAAAAAAAAGTCAAAGAAATGCATCACTAGCCTTTTATTAATCTTTTACCTTGTTGTGCTTAAAAATCAAAATAAAAATAAATTAAGCTACATAATTGCTTAAATAAACATGTACAGAAAGTGTATCCTCACGGTTTGCAAAGAGTATAATGGCTACATTTACAAAATAAATTCACAGTTTTAATAGTTAACAAATAAGAATCTCTTTCTCAAAGAAAATAACTAAAAAAGTATAAATGCAAAATTATAACAAGATTAATATCTATGATTTAAATCAATGTTTTCTGGCCACTATTTGAATCATGATTTAAAGCAATATACCCTGTTCTCTTCTTTTGAAACTTAACAACATAAGAACGGCCATACTGGGTCAGACGAAAGGTCCATCCAGCCCAGTACCCTGTCTGCCGACAGTGGCCAATGCCAGGTGCCCCAGTGGGAGTGAATCGAACAGATAATGATCAAGTGATCTCTCTCCTGCCATCCATCTCCACCCTCTGACAAACAGAGGCTGGGGACACCATTCCTTCCCCATACTGGCTAATAGCCATTTATAAACTTAACCTCCATGAATGTTCTCTTTTAAACCTACATCCAAACTGTGACTTGGGTTTTCAGATCATCTCTGCCTGTGACCTCTGAGCTTTACCACAGCAGCATTATTTCAGAATAATGGCCATTATCCTGAAATAACAATGCAAGCATCTACATAGCAATTCTGTTATTTTGAAACAAATTCAAAATAACGGATGCTTATTCCGACTTCTGTAAACCTTATCCCATGAGGAATAACGCCTGTTCCGAAATATCTATTTCAAAATAGCTGTCGTGTGGATGCTTCACTGCTGCTATTTTGAAATAGCTCCTCCCCAGGCCCATTCAAAGTAATTACTCCCCACGTGCCTCCTGGGGTTCTAAATCAAGGTAGCTCGTCCACATTAGGGCTTCCCTGTAATGTCAGACATGCTATTTAAAAATAAGCTATTTTGGAGTATTTCTTCTGGAACAGCTTATTCAGAAATAAGTGTGCAATGTAGATGTACCCTGAGTGTTTCAAAATTCCCATCTAGCTCTATTCTACTTAATTTGTAAGCTTTTCAGGGGGGAGGGCTGTTTTTTGGTTCCTTTTCTACACAGCAGGGGTAGGACTTCTGCGGAGATCTAGCCCCCCAAGGCTCAGGGCTTCACCTGCGGTGTTGAAAAGTCCATGCTGGCACTCCAGCCTCTCCTGCCCCCGACCACCATTCTGCAGAGCTAGAGCATACACACTTTACTATCCTCCTAGGCTCTGACGTGCAAGGGGAATGTGGGGAGTGTCTTTCTCCTTCTCACTCAGGGGTCACATCAGTGAGGGTTTGTGGGGTTTTTTCCTTCTCACTTGAGTGTGGCCCCTTACTAATGTGGGTCAGCAGTCCAACCCAAAAAATGAAAGGTTCCCCACCCCACTGTACAGAATCCAGCAAAACAGGGCTGATCCATAACTAGGGACCCTAAGTAGTAGTGCAATATCTATATTTTCTTGCATATAGTATCTTTCTTTATAACCCCAACCCATCTAAGGCCAATATTGCAGACTGAGAGAAGAATGTTTGAAGTCCAGATTCTAGTTTTATCATTTATATCCATCTTTATGCATGTCAAAGGTGTTGAGTCTGTGTATTATATTTAAGATGAAAATCAAAATCAATAAAATTGCTCCTCCCCCTAAAGATGTATAAATCATTACATGACACAAAAGAATAAATTAAAAATTTAAAGTAAGTTAAAATTTGTCTGGACATTCTACAGACTAAAAAGCAATTCATTTTTTACCAAATGAAAAATGAAGTTTCTATTAGCTGTAGTAGGATGTTAAAAACTAGTCAACTTGTCTATCCCCCCACCTCCCTTGCTGCCTCTATCAGAAAGAACTTGACCCCAGGTTCTGGGGAAATGCCGTACAGAATCCACGGTCTGCTAGGGAGTCCCCAGATGATTCCAGGTTCCACTGAAATGCCTCCGTGGAGTCCAGGATCAACTGGGGAGTCCCCATATGACCCCGGCTCTGCGTGGCATTTCAAATCAGCAGCGCAGCATGGAGCCCAGGGCCAGGGAGGGACTTTGAGTCCCCCACTGACCCCGGACTCCATGCTGCGCTGCCAATTTGAAATGCACAAGAGCCCCCGCTGGGGACTCTTGTGCATTTCAAAGCTGGCACGCCGCGTGCAGCCCAGAGTCAGTGGGACTTCCCGCTGCACACAGAGTTCTGCATTTCTCTTTTGAAATGTACAAGAGCCCCACCAGGGCTAGTCAAATTGACTAGTCAAATCCATCAACTAGTCAATTAACCATTACTTAACATCCTTAAGCTGTAAACCTATTTTAATGTACCCAGATACCTGACAAATACACACAATCACCAATTTAAGAAAAATAAGTATCTTATTCTTTTCTTCACCTGTTTTAGAGCCCTCTGATTTGGTACAAAGAGAAACAGATGGAAAGAGGCTTCGGAGTCCCCATGCTTCTAGCTGTAAAGTCTGCAAAATAAAAATCAAACAAATATTTTTTAATTAGATAAATATTTGATCGTTCATCTGTAATGTTCTTATGTACTGTTAATTACTGATCTATGTAAAGAGGGAGGACTGATGTGAATTCCCTGGATGCAGAACAAAGGTGATGGTGGAATGGTTCTCTCATTAGGACTCCTCTTACAAATTTATTTTCTCTGAAACAGCAGAGATTATAATCAGAAATTTGTGTTCCTTAATTATACAGATAAAGTACAGTTTGGACCTCTCTAGTCCGGCACCCTTGGGACCTGAGCAGTCCCATACAAGGGAGTCTGCTGGACCAGGGGAGGTCAGTGCTTCCCTGCTGGCTGCCTCTGCCAATGCCTCTCTCTGGGGCTCCCTGTCCTGCCAATGCTCAGCACCCTGCTGTCCCTGGGGTTCCCCAGCTGAGGCTCCCGGCTGCCACCTAACTCCACTGTGTGCGCACGCAAGAGAGAGTCCTCACCCCTGGGGTTCCAAGGCCACCCAGGCTGCTGCTTGACCCCACTGCCACCAGGGTTCCTTAGGGTACGTCTAGACTACATGTCTCTGTCGCCAGAGGCATGTAGATTAGGCTACCCGACATAGTAAAATGAAGCGGTGATTTAAATAATCGCCGCTTCATTTAAATTTACATGGCTGCCACGCTGAGCCGACAAAGGCAGGGGAGTGTCCAGACTATCGCGCTGAGCGACAAACAGCTGATCAGCTGTTTGTCGCTCAGCGCGATAGTCTGGACACTCCCCTGCCGACATCAAAGGTATTTGTCGACCACCCAGGTAAACCTCATCCCAGCTGATCAGCTGTTTGTTGGCTCAGCACGGCAGCCATGTAAATTTAAATGAAGCGGCGATTGCTTCATTTTACTATGTCGGGTAGGCTAATCTACATGCCTCTGGCGACAGAGGCATGTAGTCTAGACGTACCCTTAGTCAAGTCACTGTAGACTTAGTCAGGACTCCCCAGCCCCCACGTTCTTCTGACTGGCTTTCCACCCCCAGCCTCTGGTGTTTTGGTCCAGCAACATCTGTGGTCCTGCTGGACTACACATGTTGCCAAACTAGAGAATCCGGGATTTGGGAAGTTCAACCTGTATGATTGCTATCATTTATTACCACAGAATACCACAGCTAAACTAAACAAGCATGTACATATAATTGTGTACTACATGATTCTTAAAAAACCCTCATGACAACTTTTTTTGTATGTAATGTGAGTGGGTGAGGAATATTAGTTAGGTTGCAAAGCCAGATTTACCATTATCTACCCTCCTTGCACATCCCATCTTGTGCATTGAAGAGGCAAGACCCCATGGAAAAGACAATAGGCAAACATGTACCTGCAAGACCCTAAGGCATAAGGAAGCCAAATTAAGGTTGTATCAACAACCACAAATTTCCATGCAATGTTGTTGAAGCCATGCCAGTCCCAGGATTTGAGAGTGGCAAGGCAAGTGAGCTAATATCTTTTATTGGTCCAGCATCTGCTGATGAGAGAGAAACACTGTCTACCTATATAGGGCTTTTCTTCACAGAAGCACCACATCCAGGTTATGGTTTGGATAGGGCCAAATCTGGCTCTCTCTCGTGTGGGAGGTGGATGGGCTCCTGCAACACATGATGCTCCTAGTAAGGTGTGTGGGAGGAGGCACTGAGTCTGGAAAGGAGCTATGAAGGAAACTCAGCTGCACTCTCTCATTACTGTCAGGGCAGTGAAGTAAATTCCTATTCTGCATGGTGCACTAAGAAACATGAGTGTGGCAGAAGCTCTGGAACTGAGGGTCAGGCAGAAGGGACAGACAAACCCATCTCTTTCCCCTGCTCTCATAACAGAGGCTCTGGCAGCAGACTATTTGCTGCTTGTTTGGAACTCAGGCCAGGGTCTTAACAACAGTCAGGGCTGCTGGTAAACTGCCAAGAAGTATCTATTACATTCTCAATAATGGGACGCGTTAGGCAATCTAAAAATAGAGGTTTCTCCCACTTCCCCATTATGCAGGGCAGGCTACTGCTTCCTAGAGTCTGGAATTCCTTTCACTCCGCACCCCCCCCCACCACATTATAGCCAAATACACCAAAAATTGTACTTTTTACTCCCCCATATATAGGCCTTTTTCCATGCCAACCACATTTTATTGTCTATTCTCAATATACTTTCTAGAAACACTTTATGGAATATTAGATGGAATTGAGGGCAGGGGAAATGAGGAATACTCTCCTCCTATCCAGTTTAGTCATACTTCTTATGTTTAGAAATCCCATTACTCCTTTCCCATTTTGAATCGGAGACCCAAACCTATCACTCAAAAAGATCACATATCTACCTACATCCAATCAACTTTAGACACACATCCCAACCATCAACCCAGACTACTAGTTTTCAGAGTGTGTCTATAAAATGTATCACATTTTCATTTCTAGACAACTATTGCAAAAAATTCTCAAAAGTTGTGATTATGAAACATGTATATCAAAAATGGATACTGGCCGTTAGGACTGTTCTGAGCGACACCAATGTGATTTTACACCTTCATATTTAAGATCCCATGAACTGCAATTAAGTATTTATTTACCTACCCGTCACTATTTATTTCCTTGCTTTTTAAATGTTTAAAAACGGCATGGGATGAGGGAGGATTAGATTTTTAAAAAGCCTGGTAGTATTCCTTAGTTTACACAATAGTAAGATTAAAAAAAAAAACAAAAAAAAACACACAGCTATGAAGCACTTAAAAGATTACAAATTCTGTATGTTCTTGGCTTCCCTCTGCAAACTGTAATCCCTACTGTAGAACTAGGGGACAACTATTTTGTTACCAGAATCTCTGACTCAGTTACCTATATAGCTAAAATGCTCTTCCAAAACAAACATAATTGGCACCCTCCAAATTTAGAGTCCAAGGATGCATCTCTAAATTGTACTCCTTTTCTGTTCAAGAAGCAAGCAATTTCATAAAGCATGCAAAAACAAAAAACAAAACACAACCAACAACACTTTTTGCTTTTTACACTGCTAAGGAGCATCTATATTAGAAAAAAATAGTACAGGCAGTCCCCGGGTTACGTACAAGATAGGGACTGTAGGTTTGTTCTTAAGTTGAATCTGTATGTAAGTCGGAACTGGCGTCCAGATTCAGCCGCTGGAGTGACATGTGAGGGGCCAGAGCCTGCTCGAGGGTCCGGCTGGGCTACTAGCCAGGAGCAGCCTGATGTAAGTGTCTCTTGGCCAGAACCAGCACCTGACACCTCATCCCCCTCCTGCAGGCCAACTCCCTCCTCCAGGTAACAACCCAAACTCTCTGAACTAATTCCTGAACTCCTGCACCTTCCCTGCTTATCCTGTCTTTGAACCAAGTTTCATGATACAGTGATAAAAATGCCTTGAGGCCAAAGCTGTTTGGAGCAGCTGCTGTAATACTGTTTTTTCCCCCCTATTTTAGACAAAATTAAGCAGTCTGTGCTGGAAAGGTTCCCAAAGCTTTCCCCTGCCCTACAACTAATTTTAACTGTTTCTCCAGAAAGGTCAGGATTATGCTGCTCAGTATGCAATCAAGCATTTTAGTCTTATCTTGTAGAGGATTTTTTTCCCTCCCAAAATGGCATTTTGGATCATATTTTTCATGTTTTATATTCTACAAAACTGTGTCCTGGTTTACATTATCTTGCACTAAAAGGAAAAACATAGAAAAAACAAGCAACAAGTAAGGCTTATATATTTGATGACACAGTAGACTACATTCTTAAAATATGTAGTATTGAACAATCCTGCCCTGGTAGAAAAAGATATAGACTTGACAAATCCATTTAAAAATAATTTTGACATAATAGTTTATTTTTAAACTGTTTTCTATTTGTATCTATTTAAATGTTCATAGTAACTAATGGAAATTCTGAGGGATGTCTGACAATTATTTAAGGACAGCAGACATTGAGAATCAAAAAATTAAAGCATTATAACTTTCAAAACACAAATTGTCAACATCACACACCAAAATATACAAAGTATATCCTTAAATGAATACATTTAAATAAATTTCTTACTTTGCCTATCTGCACATTTCGATCATCAATAGAAATAATTCGGTTTGTGCGAGTAAACTGACATTGATATTTTCTGATAAAAATCTAATCCTTCCAAGCCAAAATTTGCACAGTGGTTTCCCCCCCCACAACTATCTCTGATGGACACACAACCGAAGTTGCGATCTGGGAATGGATCATGTACCTATCTAGCCCAGAGTCAGACAGTAGCCACTACTTGTTAGAGAAAGGCAAAAATCATTTTAAACAGTCAAATATAAAATGACGTATAGTATGAATATGTAAGATTTTCCTTCTGGTACCAAACTACTTGTTAGAGAAAGGCAAAAATCACTTTAAACAGTCAAATGTAAAATGACGTATAGTATGAATGTGTAAGATTTTCCTTCTGGTACCAGTTATAGTCGGATTATTTTTTGAAGCATGAGATTTGTTTTCGTTTCTTGATCTGTTTCTTGTGTTGTTATGCAGAAATATGCAAGACTGGTTGCAAAGAAGCACATTAGAGCTCCCAAGTAGGATTGACAGAAGTCTATTTTCATAATTTACAGACAATACTGATGTTTATTGGTAAGCATTTTTTATTTCTATTATTGATTTAATTTTTTACAGTAGTGCAAAATTATGGGAGGTTATAATGATTTAAATTTTCATCGTTGCAGGAAACTGGAATGAACAATATTTAAAGACAACAGATGCGGAGATTAGGGATGTGAAAGTTTAACCAGTTAATCATCAGGCATCACCCTAAATGGATGTGCCTTACTAGTTAAGGCTAACCAGTGGGGGCTGGAGCAGCTGGGCACCCCACAGGTGGGGGCTTCTCTGACCAGACCGAAGGAGCCCTTGGCTATGGGAGGGGGATGGGAGGACAGCAGCATCCCAGCCCCAACTACAGGGGAGCAGCCTAGAGGGATTCTGGCCCCAACCGCAACAGGATGGTGTCCTGGCCCTGGCTATGTAGGGGAGGCCCGGGGTGACTCCAACCACAAATGTGGCCCCACCCCCAACATTTGTGGTTCAATTTGGCTGGGCAAGCTTCCAGGACTCCTCCCCCAGCTGTGTCAGAGCGGCTGAAGCAGGATAGGCAGTTAACCAGTTTAACTTTAAAATGCAATATGTTTATTCTGTTGACTATTTAAACACTTTTAACATCCCTAGTTGAAATGAAAAAAATAAGTTTATTAACCATTAAATCTAAGGATGTTAAAAGGCAGGTAATCGTGTAGTTGATACAATTTGTATCATGGACAGGGGCTGCTGTTGGAGTAGCCTCTCCTGGCTCCCCTGCACTGCTGCCTCTGATGGGACAGGGCAAGTGGTGCTGTGGAGATGGTACTAGAGACGCAGCTCTGACAGCTGAGGGGTGGGGCCAGTGCTGCAGTCTGGGCATTGTTAAGGGCTGACTGACTCAGGCCCCAACCCTTCCACCTTGGCCCTGCCCCATTGATTATATGTATTACCATAGACCCTAGGGCTCTGTCTACATTGGTGGCTTCGTGCGCAAGAACATCTTGCACAAGGGGTCTTGTGCAAGAAGTCTTGCGCAAGAAAACATCCACACTGCCATGTGCACGCTGTGCTTTTGCGCAAGAGCTCCCATGGCAGTGTGGACAGGGGCAGATGATAATTTTGCAGGGCCCAGGGAGTGCAAGAAGTCTTGCGCAAGAAAACATCCACACTGCCATGTGCATGCTGTGCTTTTGCGCAAGAGCTCCCATGGCAGTGTGGACAGGGGCAGATGATAATTTTGCGGGGCCCAGGGAGACACAATTTTGTGCATGCGCCTCAGCAGCAGCTAACCGGACGTAGCGTGCGCGGGGCCTCTTGAAGCACGGAGCCTGGGGCAGCTGCCCCGCTCGCCCTGCCCTATATCCACCGCTGAGTGTGGACGCTCTCTTGCGCAAGAAAGCTCTGATGACTGTTTTAGCCATATGGCTTTCTTGTGCAAGAAATCCCTACTGAGCGTCCACGCTGCCCTCTTGCGCAAGAGGTCTTACACCTGATAAAAGAGCATAACTCTTGCGCAAGGAGCCCTCTATTACCACGCCATATAGTAAATTTCCTTGCGCAAGAGCAAGCGGGCAGTGTGGACACTCTTCAGATTCTTGCACAAGAATGACTGTACTTGCGCAAGAAGCCACGAGTGTAGACATAGCCAAATTGTCTTCATCACCTTAAAAATTACTTCATCTTAGAGAAAAAAGGTCGAGAAGGGATATCTTAAATCATACCTGTTTTTTACTATTCACTAGTCCATTTGTAACACGCCTACTTTAAAAACCTAAACTACTGCAGTTTTTTACTGTAATAAGTTCTCAGGCCACATTTTTATTACTTTATTGCTGAATATTGATTATTATCAATGGAAATATTTTTCACTGGTTTGTGTATGAAGTGAAATTGATATTTACTGGTAAAAATCTAATCCTTCCAAACCTACTTATATACGTTTGAAACAATTTTCAAGTACCATTCCAGCAGATTGTATTAAATGAAACCCTGCCTGCCTGGGCCTTGTCTTCACCAGGAAGGCTATGCTGCATTAGACACACTTTTCTCTCCTGGAACGGTGTGACCAGGCATAGATCCCAGACTCCACTAGGAGGGACAGCAGCAGCCCTGGCTATTGAGGTGGCTGCCAGACAGACTGGCTGGAATGTTTTGAAAAGCTGAAGTTTCAATGGATATTGATTGGCAGGGAAACATTTCCCGGTTGCAGAGGGAGGCCTGAGCACAGCCAGGCACTGGGCCACAGCAACCCAGCCAGTGGCACTTAGTGCCAGCGCAGCTCCATGCTCTCAGCCCCAGGCAGGGCTCCAGAGCAGAGAGGTCTCTCCTGCCACAGCACCACCTGCCTGCCCAGTACAAGGGGGGGAGCCACAGGCCCTCCCTGGCTCCTGGTGTCAGCCCAGGCCTGAGCCCTGCTCAGCTGCACGAACCACGCCCAAACCTCAGACACCAACAGCGCATGCGCAGCATCTACAGGGCGGCGCCGTCTTGTGTACAGGCAGCCTCCGGGAAGGTGAGTCGCTGATACCGCCAACGCATGCGCACTAGTCCCCCCTGCACTCAGCTACACAGATTCCATGGGACTGGCGACAGAATCCTGGCGCATGCGTAGTTGCCGCTGTCCTCGTCCTCCCCACTCCCCGGCGGAGTCCGTGGCCCCTAGAATCTGTGCGTGCGTGGGGCGTGGCTGAGTGGCGGCGCGTGCGCCCCAAGCAAGAGCCTCAACACCCCCCCCCAGCCCCGTTAGGGGTTGATTAGAACGGGAAGCCCCGCTCGCGCGAGCC